TGTTCCATTCCGGTCCTCTGTCAGTTAGGGACTGTCAGATGTTGTCTTTCCAGCAGACCCTAGGTCATCCTGAAGGTCTGGTTCCCTAGTTCTTAGCCTGCCATGATGGCCAATTTTCATCCTCTTGCCAATTTCTCTTCTGCTAAAATGAACTTCCAGTTTTGGAAACATAATAATTGTCAGAATGTGCTGTATTAACTATTTCATGTGGAACTTTTTTCTGTTGTGCCCCCAGTTTTGTTGTTGTTGACTACACTGAAATGAAGGGTGGCCGATTATGTTCAGACTGCCTTGATGTTTGCGGGTACTGTGCTGGCTGTCGTGATTGATGGTTTGTGCCGACAGTGAGCTGCAGTTCTGGTGTGTGACTGTTAGTGTTGACACATCTTACAGTTGCCGTTTGCATTTTTATTTTGCATATGCAAGCTTAAAGATTTTGCTGGAACTGACAAGTTTTTCCCTACCAGTTTTTAAAGGGGACAGTGAAGGACATTTGGTGTGATTTCAGCTGGCGCACTGAGCATTTCTGGGTCAACCTTTTTGCATTGGCATTGGAACCTCTACTCACGACTGACTTGCAAACGACTATATTTAATATGAGACTGAATCAACAGTGAAAAGTATTTTGAGGTTTTTCTGAAATATTTTATGAATGAAATTTTCAAATAGCAGACGCACTGTTTGCCAATGGTAATTGATTCAGATTTCTATGAGTATTAAATATTTAGATATATTGACAGGCATATATATTGACAGAAATAAGACAGGCAGATATATTGGCAGATATAAGACAGGCAGATATATTGACAGATGTAAGACAGGCAGATATATTGACAGACATAAGACAGTCAAATATGTTGACAGACATAATACAGATAGATATATTGACAGACATAAGACAGGCAGATATATTGGCAGATATAAGACAGGCAGATATATTGACAGACATATACATAGACAGACCAAAAAAAAAACAGACCTTGGGCATAAGATAATTTGGGGTGTTCTGAATTGAGATGTTATTATTAATTTAACTTTGTTCTAAATGAACTCGTGACACATGTTAAATATTATTCTGGCTCAACAGAAACACAAATAGACTGATGGATTGTTAGACAAATAGAGAAACACAGATGATGAAAAGAGAATACTAAATTTTGAGTGTGCTTAATTTGAGACAAATCAAATTCAACTACTTATGAAATCAGAGAGTGATTGTCAAGAATTTGTTGCTTTCAGAAATAGAAAGCTAAGTGTTATTTGTCAATCACATCTGATCTGTCATCTTTGACTGTGATTCTCCCCTCCAATATTTTGCCAGATGGAAATAAAAAATATGTGTTTAATATCTATAGAAGCTTTGTTCTTGGTATTTTATCAATTAGGAAGGCTACAAATGCAAGGGTTTACAATAAAATCTATGTTATGGATTTGGCTTACTTGTATGTTTACTCATAAATCGTTAATGTGTTTTTTATTCGACCTATGCTTCGTTAATATAAATTTATGTAGCCTATGGTGCCATTTAAATGGTAAGCATGTCATTTAAGCCAGCTAGTTAGGGATATGTCCTCCAAACAGATACTAGCAGAGGTAGACCACGCAGAATATGGACCGCAGAAATATCAGAGACGCTGAAAAGTACTTTATACAAAGTGGACATAAGAGCCCATTCCAGAGATCACTTCCTGCCCTGACGCTGCAAGGCATTACAGGAGTAGAGAAAGTAAGAAAAAGAATTTCTTGGAAGTCTGAATGCATCAGCCGGAGAGGTGAGGAACTAGCAGTTTGCCCACAAATAAGGCAGATCTGTAAAGCAGATGTGCATGCAAAACAAAAAGTTCTAAAACAACGCAAAAGACCCAAAATGGACAAAACAAAAAGAACTTAAAGCCAAGGCTTTCAGATGACACAAAGCAAAAAAAAAAATAAAACAGCAAGTTACTTCCTTACTGTTGAGTACCCAAGTATAAATGTTTTATGCAGCTGAATAGGTTTCTTGGATTTATTTATGTTTAATATCTGGGGAGCATTTTATATCTGCGGAGCATTTTATATCTGCGGAGCATTTTATATCTTGGGAGCATTTTATATCTGGGGAGAATTTTACCTTGAGGGCATTTTATATCTGCGGAGCATTTTATATCTGCGGAGCATTTTTTATTAGGAACATTTTATATCTGGGGAGCATTTTACCTGGAGGGCATTTTATATTTGCAGAGCATTTTATATCTGGGCAGCATGTTTTTCAGAAGACGGAAAAATTAATAAAGAAATCCAACAAAGATGCAACAAAGTCAATCAAGTTTAAGGCCAAATAGCACCAATTTTGAGATGCAAGCATGTGAATATGAACACTAAAAGAACACTTGTTCAACACAATATTATTACCATGCTATGCTATCACTGTCAAACATGGACACCGTCTTCAGAAGATAGAAGGAAAATATTCCTGACAGAAATGAAATGTTTACGTAATCTACCAGATGTAACGAATATATTAAATGTAATAAACAGACAGACAGTATATCAATCGGCACTCATAGAACGAAGTAGAAAGATAGAAAAACACACTAGACAAAATAAAAATCGAAAGCTATAATTACCGTGCCGGGAATCGAACCTTTCACCTCCAGATGGCGTGTGCGCCTTGCTATGGAAACAAGTGCACCAAGAACATGGTTAACTAGGCACCCCTAAAAATGGGTGTCTTCATAGGCCATGTCTATCGTACAGCTTGCAATCGACAACTATGAATTCATCTTAAACCATTGAAATGGCACCATTTGTTACAAGGAGACCGGCACTGTCTTCCTGCAACAGCATGGCATTCTGCACAGAACGAGACGTTGCAGAAACAACCATCAGAAAGATGGTGTATTATCGCTGTCGGCAAGACACACGACCGTTTGCTGGTGTCGAAAGTCCACCTGTCGTCTGGACATACCCGTACGGCAAATTGCGGACCTCTTTCTGGCGACTATACCGCCATCGCCGAGAGTATCCCCGCGCTGCTACGCGCGGCGCGGAGTGAGTTAAACTAGATGGCTGGGACTCACGAGCAAAAAAAAAAAAAAAAAAAGGAGGAAGCTGCAGGAGATGCGTAGCTGCTGCTCGTGAGTCCCCGCCATCTAGTGTTTTTTAGGTGTAACGAAGAAATATCTACTAAGGAACGATGATATCAGGAGGAGAGTCGGCACAGAACCAATACTGAAACTTTATAGGTAGACAACAAATAAATGGTATGGCCAACTAACAAAGTTGGCATCAGACAGGACACTACAGAGAGCAGTGTTATACAGATACAGTGGTAACAGAGCTAAAGGTCGTCCACGCAGAAGATGGACCGCAGAAATATCAGAGACACTGAAAAGTACTTTATAGGAAGCGAACAGATCCAGAGATCTCTTCCTGCCCTGACCTCGCGACGCATCCCAGGAGTAGAGAAAAGAAGAAGAAAGATCCAGGTAGGAGGCAACAATACAACATAATTTTTAACACTTTTATTATTTGTGTTGATGTGCTATACTATCTTATTTCCTAATTTATTATGTCATTATCACACACATAAACACACACATATGCAAGTAGTACATGCATAGGCGCGCGCTCACACACACACGCACATGCGCACCCACACACACACACACGCCCCCCACCCCCCCCCCATTTATAAGTATAATCCACATCAGTAATTTTCTACGTACAGTCCATGCTGTGTGGCGTTGGTAGTCATGTCTATCCACAACCTCCTGTCTCATGTAGTCAAAGATCTTTTCCCATCCCTTCAGGCACAGGAGCCTAGACCTATATTTTATAGACCAATCGGCACTCTGTGGGTGTAATGGTCAAGATGGTGGCGGCCACCTTTACTTACCAGGATTTTTCCTGGTACCCAATTAAGGCCGGGTCGACATGGGAGCCGAGGTCATTTTTGAAAAAGTCAGGTTCTGACACAGTGGTTCTCAACCTTCATAATGCCGCAACCCTTTAGTACAGTTCCTCGTGTTGTGACGACCCCCGACTGTACAATTATTTTCGTTGCTACTTCATAACTTCAATGAACATGTGTTTTCCGATGGTCTTAAGCGACCCTTGTGAAAGGTTCGTTCGACCCACAAAAGGGGTCGCTACCCAGAGGCTGAAAACCGCTACTCTATCAGGACCTGAACGCACAACCTTTGGATCTGCAGGCGGGAGTCTAGCCGCTATACAACAGCGGCTCCCTTCTGTCTCGTGCACTCTCAGTTAATTCTGACACATGATGTTGAATGCCAGGATGTCAAACTATCCAGCATCTTCTTTCTCGATCTCCCTCTGCCTCTGTTCCCCTCTAACTTTCCCACCGTTATGATATACTCCAGTTTTCTCCTGACATGGTTAAAGACTGTAGATTGTGTTCTTCTGGTGTGGTTGATTATTTCTCATCGTGATTCGGTTTCTCTCAAGACATCCTGATCTCTGATTTTATCTGTTCCGAGTGTCGTCATCATACATCTAAAAAAAACCCACACCATATCGGGATAGGATTTATATAACTGTTGCGAATTCACTTTCTCACGTCATTTGACTAAGGAAGATTGCATAGCTTATTAGAATACATGTATAAAAGGATACAAAGCTATCAGGTTTTTAAAAGAAAATATGCAATAACTATTTGCTGAGAATATAAAAGACCAGCAATACAAATCTTAAATCTCAAACCCAGGAAAGATGCAGTACAGCTTGATCACAGACATACATAATTCTAGAATGAATGAGACACAGTAAGGTAGATGTGAGCTCACAATCCCAAGATATTCTTCAAGACCTAAACCCACTACCTTCGGATCCGGAGGCGAGCGTCCAGCCGCTACACCATTCCGGCTCCAACTTGCGAATACCTTAGCCAAAAAAAAAAAAAAAAAAACAGTAAATGTGCTACAGGCTGATCTAGATATACTTCGGAAAAAAAGTTTGGTACGAGCTGAATGCCCTTCACAGTTTGAATTCAATGATGGTCACTGAAGGACACATGTTTTAGCCATGACTCTCCGGTTCTCCAAAGCTGCTCCAGTATGAAACAGTTCTGAGTGGCCTGTGGAAAGTTGAACATGATGGATGACTGCAAATTGATGAAAGATGTGAAACGAAGAATACACAACACATGCAAGGGCAGACTTACAGAAATGCAACTTAAGGATAACCCGTGTACATCATGTTGATAACTTGTTTGTTGAATTAAGAATCGACATCACTGCACTAGGAAATTCACATAAGCGCTCCGCCCCCATCTCCAGCATCAAGTTCAGAGTTCCAATTAAGGTGGCATCAGTAACAGTTTGACTGCACACCCATCTCGCCTTTCTTTTGAGTGTAGAGCTTTGGCCAAATTCCCCCGGTCACTCCTCACATTATAATTCTCCCCAAACCGTGATGATCTTGTGTGCCTCAACACTGTTCACTCGCTCCCACAGGAACCTTACAACGTTGCTGATCCTTGTTTAGTATCATGACGTATAATATTTATCTCTACTACAAATAAAGCCACCCTGGAGACAGTGTTGGATATGAAAAAGAGGTTGGTGTGGGGGGGGGGGGAGGGGGGGTTGAGGATTAAGGGTCATGGCTAGTGTTTTTTACCACAGACGATGCAAGTAAGGTAGTTTTAAACTTCCAACATCTCGAGTATTCTAACCCGAATATCCCACATTAGAGCCTAGCGTTGCAACGACTCAACAACTTCTCCTCTGTATAGTATTATATATGTTGCAAACTCAGCGCTTATGCTTCTGAGCTGTGCTGTATCGGGAATGTTAAAATCCGTACACACACAATGATGAAGTCGCCCTAGATTTACAGTAACTAGACATTTAACATAAACATCATTCTAAAGCCTGAAAGTCTCTTTTTGTCTAGCCAACTCTCCAGCCCTATGTGCTTTCATAGCCAATGCATCTTCAATGTTCTGTATCCCCACCTTCGCGGAAGTCTATCTCTGCCTCGTTTTCCGGAAAATATAACATCCATTGCTGTACTCTCCAGGCCACTATAACATTCAACATGGTCAAAATACCCCAGCTTTCAGAACCGGATGCTGTTTATCAGCCACTTCTCCTCGATGCTGCTCAGTTCATGTAGGATGTCGGTGTTTTTCGTCTTCTTTTAGTCCAGGGTTTTCAAAGTCAATGTTTATGCAGCATTTTAGTTCAAAAAGCTCTAATTTTGCGGTAACCATAGCTTTCGAATCATATATTACCTCATGTGTCCTTCTATCTTTCTACTTTCATTAAAATATATCTCTAGCACCAATATATTCAATGTTTCAAAGGTGTAATAAGTATTTTTTTTTAAACTGTTTCCCCCTCTGTTTATACCTTTCTTCGAGAAGAGCTTGTCCGAGACCACCAAGTATTCATAGAAGTCCAGTGTTCTACTCTTGTTGATGTCAGCTTCCAACATGGCTTCCTGTGTCAGAAAGATACTCAGATGATTTACAATGAACACAAATCAATAAACTTTATAGTAAATAGCAAGATACAAGAACAAATAATATTTTTATATCTTGGACAAGTTTATAACAGCAACAGATGGCTCAAGTGAAATAATAATAGAAAAAAAAAAAAAAAACATTTCTTCTTTGACAGACTGACTGACTGACTGACTGCTTGGCAACAGGTTTCATAAGGTCAGCTGTATTTGCCTTCGTGAAGCGGCACGTCAGCAGCAAGTCTCCAAGGCTTTCCTGAGGTTTGTTCTTAACTCTGGCTACGTGTTTTCTCGCGGGTTTTACTGTTGGCGGCAGTTCTGTAGTATGTGCGCGAGCATTTGGGGTTAGATTTTGAAAGAGGTAGAATATATTTGCAGCAACACAAGTAAAACATTAACATATAGAGAGATTTAAAAAGAAAGCGTTAAAAATAGTCAAAGTCAAATCTGGCGTATATTCTATGGCACAGAGATTCTAAATATGAACTAACAGCTTCCTGTAGATTTGGTTTTTTGGATGGTATAGTCCTTACATGGATTAGTCCAGAGAAGGACTGCGAGGGCAGCCTGGCTTCGCACTATCGATGTTAATAGAGGATATCTTTTAGTCTGGCCAAGACTGGGCCGTATCAACCATCCACTTACCTAAATATTTCAATAAACTCATGGATGAAGGACTGACTTAGGTTAATGTTTAGACAACGGATAAACATCATGGCACAAGGGGTAACCCATAAGTGCTCCGTTCTGCGTCTGACTCAAGACTGAGTCCGAAGATTCTCAGAGCAGTGGCGAACTCTGTAGAACCGGCGAGGATCCTGAAATACTTTGGATAGATTTGTAACTCAAAATTTTACCCAGGCAGCGCCGTTAGGCTTCTCTTTTCGATTTCCAACTGCCAATGGATTTTTTTTTTAAACGTGCGAAATAATACACACGGGCGTCCGATCTGACTACCCAGAAACCAGGAGAAATTACTAAAAGTCCACGTGAAAAGATTCCAGTCCTCACCGGGGCCTGAACCAGTGACCTGCAGCACTCGAAGCGGATGCCATGTAAGAATCCCACGTAGCCCCAGAACTACAACAATAAGCAGCAATCACAACCGTGCACCAACACTTACCTCAGCTTGTTGAGCTGTAAACTGTAGGCCCATTGACATCAAGGCTTTGATAACCTAATGGGAGCAGAAGATGTCAAGATGAGGTTAAAAAAGATTATGCTACCACAAGTTACTGAAATATTCTTGCGGTTTACTCAAATATTCTTTTTGACGTGACAATCAAACAGAATACTAGATAATGTAAAACAAAAAATAAAATTAAAAAAAGTAAAATGCCTCAAAGATTCTACATTTATTATGAGAAATTTCTCTCATACCTCAGCAAAGTCTAGACACTCGTTTCTATCCACATCAAATTCCTGAAACTTAGCCCAAAGTTCTTTCACCTGAAAGAATAAAAAAAAAAAAAAAAGAATTCACATTTTAAGTCATTTGTCTGTTTCATCAAGTATTTATTGTTCTCCTAATTTTTACACCATTACGTACTTTATACCACTTGAAGACCATCATTTATCCTTATTACAGAACATCCCAAAATTACAATACTAATTCATGAAAATTTCTACTGGAATACCATGTGGGCCTGCAGCACTTCCATCATTTAGTTATTTCCTCTTTACCTATTCTCTCGAAGCTGATATGAGATGGGGTGGGGACGTCCTCCAGGCTGGAGACTATTGTCCTAGGAGAAGATGGATTGATGATACAAATAAAACATCTTCTACATCGACACGAAATTCATTAGCCATTGTTACCAATGAAACATATTGAAACAATGGAACATGATAGAGCCGAATGAAGGATTAGACTGCAAATCCAGCAGGAGGACGATGATATATTTTAATAAATGGTCTCGTCGTTTCAAGCATTAGTTTATACATTTTATATGATTTCAAAGATTTTTTTTTACATTTATTTGACATTTGGGAGTCCGCCGTTGTATAGCGGCTAGACTCTCGCCTGCGGATCGGAAGGTCGTGGGTTCGCTCCCTGGCGGAGCCGGACTTTTTTCAAAAATGACATTGGCTCCCAGGTCGACCCAACCTTGTGTTGGTACTGAGTGCAGTCCCGAGAAGTAAAGGCGGCTGGCGTGGAAAAGGGACCTTTACTTTACTTATTTGCCATTTAGCACACATTAGCATTTTTATTTTTCTACTGCTCGCCAACTCGCCGCGAACTCCTGCGGAAAGTATTGGTTGTTCATCCACTTAGCCTTGTTCCAGAACTTGAGTTTTGCGTGCACAACCGTTTCACAGGTTTGGCTTATTTGTGCTCAAATTGTTGGTTCCTTGCCTCTCCGGGATATGCACTGTGATTTCGAAGGAAATCGCTAATTAGTCGACTCTTACGACATACTTGTTAGGGAGACAGGTGAGTTGACCTGTGTCAAGAATTTACACCACAGCACTCAGGACATTCCCATGCGTGCTCCGTCCTCAACTTTAGCAGCCAGCGCAGAGTTCCAGTACTGATAGTACCGGTCGCAGTCTGGTTATATGTCCCTCTTGCCTTTCCTCTGAGTGTAGTGAGACGGCCAGACCCTTTGGTTACACCCAGGCGCATCATTCTCTCCCGGTCATAATAATCTACTTTCTCTTCTGACTTCGTTAATTGTTCCCAAAGGGTCTTGTCCACATCTGCCTTGTCATGAATCAATTCACCACCAGTGGTGCGGATCCAGCCAGTCTGTCTGCCTGTTCCTTCCCAACCACGCTGTAATGGCTTGGAGAAAAGGTCCAAAGCCTGCTCACTACCGGTAACCTTACTAGTGAAGCCTACCACTCTGCTGGATGCATTCCTGTCTTTCTCAGCATGCTTTCAGAGTCTATTACAAATACGACATGTGTATGTATCTTGTGCTCTAGCCACCGGAGAGCTGCAGTGACTGCCTCCATCTCTATTCCACGCTGGATATTGTGATACTATATAAGAATAAACTCACAGGGAGCAAGTACAGCGGGGATCTACAGTCATCAGTAGAAATTATCCTCTTTCGACACACGTTTCGGCCCCGATTCCTAAACGTATTCGGAGGTGGGCCCACCTGAGTTCATGAAGCTCAGGGCTGCTTCCCCGCCGCACAGAATTACCGGATGGTGTTATACTTTCGGCCAGAGACAAGACGACTTGGTGGTTTCGAAGGAGGTACTGTGAGATAGGAAGCCGCCACGGCAGCGTAATTAGAGCAGTCCGCATGCCTGGACGACCGAGCGACAAGCTTACTTTGGTTTACCGGACACATCTTGGACTTTTATTAGCAGTTGGCAGAGAGACACTGGCAGACAATTCGTACACGATGGACTTTTCAAAGGGATAAGAAACTCTTTTCCACTAGATACCCGGACCAACTCACCGAGGCCCGTCCCCTACGTTGTTGCGTTGCGTCCACAACCAGCTAGAGGCCCTTTCGGCCACCTCTCCCAGTTTTTTGAGTGCCCGTTTCCGTTCATTACCGCGCAATCCTAACTCTTTAACCACATTGTAGAGCGAAGTGGAAACGAGGCCTCTCGCTCCCACTTCGACGGCAAATACCCGCACTGTGTAAGCCTCGTTTCTCCTCAAACCGGCTGCTAAATCACTGTATTTCTCGAGCTTATACAAATGATTCTCCTCCATCCGCGACTCAAACGGGACCGTCAACTCAATCAGGATGAGTTGCCGTTTTTGCGCAGAATGGAGAACGATGTCCGGTCGCAGGCCGGTTTTACGGATCAACTCGGGATACCGTTCATGTCCTGGCAGATCAACCGCCAGTAACCAGTCCCTCGCAGAGTCTAGTACAGATGGAGCGAATGCGTTTTTGTTGACCTTACCGGTTGGAACCTGCCCAGCCTTGAGGAAACGAATGGGGGCGATACTAGAACTGGCTCTGGCGTTAGCCCTCATTCTAGCCTGGTCGACAACGGCTGCTAACTCCTTTAGCACCTTGTTGTGGCGCCAGGTATAGCGGCCTTGACCTAGAGCTTTCCTGCACGCGGACAGGACGTGCTCAAGAGTTTGCTTTGATTTGCACAAACGGGCAAGTCGGATCGTTGGTCGCAGACCATTTAACCATGTTAACACCGGACGGTAATACATCGTACGCCGAACGAACGATAAAGCTCAGTCGCAGCGGGGTCATCCGCCAGATCTCACCCCATGTGAGTATTCTCGGCAATGCGCTCTCCAGGCTGACCCAATGGCCCTGCTGCGACTGTTGGGCTGCTTTCTGGACCCGAACCTCGTTTTCGTTGTCCCTCACCGTTTGTATCACCATGTCTCGGCGCTCTTTGGCTGAGGCCTTTGACCACCAATTGACCTTCCCGTGCCCTAGGCCTCGACGGTCGGTTTGTGTGTAACCCATTACCTCTTTCAATTTTAGTGCGTTCTGAGCAGATTCAATTGCATCGAGGACTCTCCACTTCTGACCAGTCTTTAGAGCGGGCTGGACAGCGATGACATTTGGGTCTGAGGACTCACGCAAAAGCATGGCGAGCCTAACTTTGCCGACTTTAAACTCTTCGGTTATCGACTTGAACGGAAGTACCAGCTTAGCCTGTTTGCAATACAGAGCCACGTCGGTCAGACAAGGCGGTGCTCCAATCCACTTTCTTAAGGCTGTATTGATTTTCTTTTCCATGGCTTCAACTGCAGTCATCGTCACCTCGTAGACTAGCAGTGGCCATAGAAGCTTCGGAATCAACATGAATTGGAGACACCATACCTTGAATTTTCCGATCAGCCTGCATCGCTCGATCGCGAGCAGGCCTGTAGCCAGTGACTCATGTATTCGCCGGACTTCCGCTCTGTCAGATAACTTCGAATCGTAGACGCGACCGAGGCTCTTCACCGGTTCCTCCAGAACCGTAGGGATCTTGTTCCTTGCCACCGTAAAAACTGGTCGCCGAAACCTTGCCCTTGTGGATTGACAGACTCCTCGACTTCTGCGGTTTGAACTGCATACCGCTCCATTGGACCACCGCGTCCAATCTATTCAGGATCGTGCGGGCAGACTCCTCGCTGCCCGTTATAATAGTCGTGTCATCCATAAATGCGCGCAGTGGCGGCAACCAGTGATCCCCTATTTGAAGGCCCAGTCCGTAGCCGGCCGCCCCGTCTAATAAGATCTGCATTGCCATGACAAACAGTATGGGTGAGATCGTACACCCCATAGCTATCCCAATCTGCAACTCAGTCCACCTCGTGGTAAACGTCGAGGTAGAGAAGCGCAAAGCGAACTTAGAGAAATATTGCTCGACCATTTGAATGATCTGTGTCGGTACGTGAAACATGCGAAGGGCTCGCCACAGAAGCCTATGGGGGACTGCCCCGTAGGCGTTGGCTAAGTCCAACCATATAACGTGCAAATCGGTTCTCTCATGCTTGGCTCTCTGGATAGCCTCCCAGATCATGGTCGCGTGTTCAAGGCACCCAGGAACGCCTGGGATACCACCCTTCTGAACACTCGTATCTATGTACTTGTTAGTCATCAGATACTGTGTGAGCCGGCGAGCCATGACTGAGAAGAATATCTTACCCTCAACATTCAACAGCGAGATGGGCCTGAATTGGGAAAGACTCTTCGAGTCCTGCTCTTTGGGAATGTAGACCCCATTTGCCTTTGACCACTCTGGACATATGTGATTGCGGATCCACGCTTGTCTCAACAAGACGTGAAGCATTTTTAGGATTTTCGGGCAACGCTTGTAAAGAACGTACGGAACACCGTTCGGACCTGGGGCAGACTTGCCGCTGGCATTTTTCACAACGTCCTCAACCTCAGACCAAAGGGGAGGTACCAGTTTAAATGGTACCTTCGGCACCGAAGGCTGTTTAAGACCGCTAAGGATCTCTGGATTGTCATCGAGAGGCTCTCTCCTCTTTTTATCCGAGTACATCTTGCGTAGATGTAGCTCTAGTTCTTCCTGACTGACAACCAGAGTCCCAGACTTCGGTTGCTCGAATAGACCTCGGGCAAACTGATACGGGTCCCTAAAGAATTTCTCTCGCTCCCTTTTGGTTCTACGTTTGTTGTTACAGAAACGCTCGGCGCGACAGAGGGCACTGTGTTTGTTCTTTAAGTGCACCCACACTTCGTACAGCCCCTCCCGTTCGCTGCCCGTAGCGGCTTTGAACCGTTTTCTGAGGGCATTCTTGTCTGCCCGACACTTCAGAATGTCCCTCTGCCTCCTGCTAGTGTTCTGCTTGGCACCCGGCTGTGCCTTTACTACTGTCCCGAACTCGCGGGAGCAGTGTTCATATATTACATCACCAAATTTAGTAAGCTTGTCGCCTAGCGACTTCTTGTTTAGAGTTTGTTTAAGTACCTCACATAATGTAACCTCCAACTTACACCACACCACCTTCTCGCTCGCAGGTGGAAACCTGATTCTGGAACGCACTTCTTCAGAAATCATCAAAGGTGCTCCTCCGCAGTCGACGTCATGGGCCTCTCCGGGTGAGTGGGGTTCCCCCTGCCCGTCGTTCCCTAACGACTCAGAAACTACCACAGGAGTAGTAGTTTTGCGACGGCGTTTACTGCGTGGAGCACCCTCGCATTTCATTCTTCCGGCATGCGTTCTCAGACCATGCAACCCCGTGAAGCTTTTCCCACATGTACAGAGCCAGCCCGGACGTTGGGCGAGTGTCTCAGTCCGGGGGCTAGCAAGGTCGTCAACGAGGGTATCAATCAGATTGGGCCCTTCATTCTCCCCCCCTTTCGGAGGGCCCTGGGGGCATATTTCATTGTGGTCGTACGAAATCGGAGGTATTATACTGTGTTAGGGGTGATCAACCCGGTCCACAGTCGACATCTGTCTCCAGATGTCAGTTTATCCCCCCGGGATATACTAGACTGTCTTGCACAAAAGATTTTATGTTGGTTTTCGCTACAAACCCCCAGGCACTTCTCACTTCTCTTCCCTCTCAAACAGAGCCATCTGTATATATAATCAGAGCATCTGGACGAGAATTATCGGGAATCAACGGTTGGACTTCCACCTCCGTAGCACCCTCTGTCAACCTTCTGCACTCCCTGCCCAATGTGATCATGGCCCTACACAGGTCAGACTTTTCTGACTCGCTCCTCTCCTCACCCAATGTTCTTCAGCACACCTACTTGTCTTAATGTGTTGTTAGGGAGAAAGTGGGTCTTTCACTGTTTCTCCACATTAGGGCCCAGAAACTCATACATAATAATAATTATTATTGCACAATTAAACAATGTAGCGGCTAGACGCTCGCCTGCAGACCAGAAGGTCGTGAGTTCGGGTCCTGGCGGAACCATTCATTTTTCAAAAATGACCTCGGCTGCCAGGTTGACCCAGCTTTGAGTGGGTACCAGGTACAGTTCTGGGAAGTAAAGGTGGCCGGCACAATGCTAACCACATCACCCACCCAGTGCCGATTGGTCTATAAAATACAGGTATAGTGAAAATAGTCAAATGGCAAATGCGCCTGAGGGCATGGGTAAGAGTCCTTTAAATGTTACAATTTACAAGGCTTAATCCCTTCATCCCCAACCCTAGAAATTTACTATCTGGCTAAGGCTCCCATCCTACCCTATCGTTTCCAACAAGGCTGCGCGCCGGATGCCCCGTGCCCCCCCCCCCCACCATCTTGTACTAAACCTTCAGAAGCTCTAGGTAAAGAAAGAACAGAGTACTCACCGTGTCCTGTGACATGTGAGGGAAGTACTGCATACAGCGAGTGGAGTTGATTGTTCTGCTGATCGGGTCGATCAGTTTTGGGTTCTCAACTAGATGTGTATAATAAACGCACAATGTATTGATTGGCGCTCATAGAAAAAAGAAGAAAGATAGAAGGATTTAGTTTTATTCATTTTTCAACTAGATTTGGATGTTAGAACACATCAAGGGTTGTTTACTTCATTAAAAGAACAATGAGACTTAAAAGCACCCCCTTTTTTCAGTAATGGCTCATCGGAGGATATGATGCCACGCATATTTCATAGACAAATTAGCCCTCCTCTGTGGGTGATGTTGTGAACATAAACGTTGACAACAAGACCTACTTATCATCATCAAGTGCTTCGACGACTGGCGTGTGCGATTATCCCTCTCCAGGATCTTTGATTTATAACTGAGTGTATCAGTTTGTGTGTTAAATAAAAACAAACTTTCGCGAGGTCTACAGAAAGTTTGATGTGAGTTCCAATCGAGCCGACGATCCATTAGAAATTAAAAGTAAAACAAAAAAAGTAAGATATGCATAGAAAACCAACAACTGATGCAAGTGATAGACTTCGGGTATCTATACAGCATAATATCATCACATAGAAAAACATTAATGAGACAGAACAAATATGTAAGAAAACAAATCAAATCATCGGACAGATGTCACCAATTTTGCGGAACAAACATGTAACAATTGACATTCATAATTAAAAAAAAAAAAAAGCTGTTTTCATTGGCCACCATGGATATTAAAAAAAAAAAAAAAAAGCGAAACAACAGAAATAAAATATTTACAACGATTCTTAAATGTATTAACAAGAGACAGGATCAGAAATGACTTTATCACGACAGAAGTTTGGACGGAGCCAGTGCTAAACTACACAAAGAGGCAACAGATCAAATGGTTTGCACATGTGTCAAGACTATGGTCACATAGTGCACCACAAAAGCCGTGTCACTTCAATATAACGGAAGCAGTACTAGAGGTTGACAATGCAAGCGATGTATAGATAGAATACATGAGACTGCGAATAGCAGCAGATAATATATAGATATTATTAAGGCTCAGTCATTATGCCTCTTCAAAATAAATTGCGTTAAAAAGAAGAAGAAAACTAGAGAAGAAGAAGAAGAAGAAGAACAAGCAGGAGCAGCAGCAACCGCTGCAGCAATAGTAGTAACACTAGTAGTAATAGTAGTAGTAGTGGTGGTAGTGGTGGTGGTAGTAGTAGTGGTAGTAGTAGTGGTGGTAGTTGTAGTGGTAGTAGTAGTAGTAGTAATAATAGTAGTACTAGTAGTGGTGGTGGTAGTAGTGGTGGTAGTAGTAGTAGTAATAGTAGTAGTAGTGGTGGTAGTGGTGGTGGTAGTAGTAGTAGTAGTAGTAGTAGTAATAGTAGTAGTAGTAGTAGTAGTAGTAGTAGTAGTGGTGGTAGTAGTGGTGGTAGTAGTAGTGGTAGTAGTAGTGGTGGTAGTAGTAGTGGTAGTAGTAGTGGTAGTAGTAGTAATAATAGTAGTACTAGTAGTGGTGGTGGTAGTAGTGGTGGTAGTAGTAGTGGTAGTAGTAATAGTAGTAGTAGAGTAGTAGTGGTAGTAGTGGTGGTAGTAATAGTGGTAGAAGTAGTAGTAGTAATAGTAGTAGTCGTAATAGTAGTAATAGTAGTAGTAGTAGTAGAAGTAGTAATACTAGTAGTAGTAGTTGTTGATGTTTTTGTTGTTGTTGTAGAAAAGAGAAGAAGAAGAAGAAGAAGAAGAAGAAGAAGAAGAAGAAGAAGAAGAAGAAGAAGAAGAAGAAGAAGAAGAAGAAGAAGAAGAAGAAGAAGAAGAAGAAGAAGAAAAAGAAGAAAAAAAGACGAGAGGCATAATTTCTTTTTTTAAAAACTCTAAACACTGACACGAAAGTAGATTATTGTCTCACCAACAGGCTCTTCTGGTCTGTCTGTAACCTGCAAGCCATTGCCACTGTTGGTCTCCGTGGAAGACACCGAAGCTCCAGCTTCTAGTTTTGCAGACTGGTAAAGCGGAGACAACCTGTAGATGCGAAGAACATAATGTCAACAATACGCTTCTGCCTCTGTTAGTCCATACCATGCAGTGTTTGTAATCGTGTATGTTCACTGCATTCTGTCTCATCGGTTTTTACATTTCTGATACAGACGTTCTTCAATGGCATGATGACTGGGAGCTTAACATTTTCTCTCTCTCTCTCTCTCTCTCTCTCTCTCTCTCTCTCTCTCTCTCTCTCTCTCTCTCTCTCTCTCTCTCTCTCTCTCTCTCTCTCTCTCTCTCTCTCTCTCTCTCTCTGCTACCTTCAATCCATTACCAAGTAAAGTAAAGTGAAGGTCCCTTTTCCACGCCTTTAGGCTAGACCTAAATTTTTATACACCAATCGACACTTGGTGGGTGACGTCAGCACCACGCCAGCTGCTTCCCTCCCCCCTCCCCATAACTACATCTGGTACCCACTTAAGGCTGGGTCGACTTGGGAGTCAAGTTCATTAAAAAAAAAAAAACGTTCGGCTCCTTCAGGACGCGAACCTACGACCTTCCGATCCGCAGGCGGGCGTCTAGCCGCCAATGCCACGGCGACTACCCATTACCAAGTAAGTTGATATTAACACAGAGCAGGGCTGAGCCCACAGTCAGTGAGGAAGTAGGGGCGGAGGCAGATCAATTTTATTTTCATACCGTGGCACGCACGTGTACAAGGAACTGAGCAAGGTGATAGGTTTGCGGGTAAGGCTACTGTGAAGGGCGGACGAGCCATGGACCAGACCGATGTAGTGAATGTTTTACGGGAAGTAAGACGTTAGCGAGAACAAAATGATGACTGTGAGTCTGCAGCCATAACTAAATAGCAAGAACAGTATGAAAAAAAGAGGCTGTGATTAAAGAAGAGCACTATGCAAAAAGCCAAAGAAGACCAAGAAAGCAAGACAGAATTGATGTCGTCATCCACTAGACACTGCGGGATTGACTTTGGAGGGGATCCGAGAACAGTGAGACAGAATGGTTAACATAACAGAGCAGTGAGACAGAATGGTTAACATAACAGAGCAGTGAGCAAGAATGGTTAACATAACAGAGCAGTGAGCCAGAATGGTTAACATAACAGAGCAGTGAGCCAGAATGGTTAACATAACAGAGCAGTGAGCCAGAATGGTTAACATAACAGAATAGTGAACCAGAATGGTTAATATAACAGAGCAGTGAGCCAGAATGGTTAACATAACAGAATAGTGAACCAGAATGGTTAATATAACAGAGCAGTGAGCCAGAATGGTTAACATAACAGAGCAGTGAGCCAGAATGGTTAACATAACAGAATAATGAACCAGAATGGTTAATATAACAGAGAAGTGAGCCATAATGGTTAAAACGACAGTACAGTGAGCTAAAACGGTTAATTTATAAGAATAGCGGGTCTTAAAGGTAAACATAACAGAATAGGAAACCGGAACGGTTAACATAACAGAACAGTGAGCTAAAATGCTTAACATAACACAAAGTGTAAGATGACAGGAACGAGGACCAGAACAAATAAAATATTGAGTACTGTATAAAAAGTAACCAGTGGCGTACGGCCTGTCTTACATGGGACAGCAGATTATTGCGTACGCAATTATAACTGGTCTCTGTGTTTGAACGGGGTTTAAATATTTGGTCCTGTCGAATTTCCATCCGAACACCGCCCCTTTGAGTCATTGTATGACAAGCTATACGGCTGCATTAATAAAGAGGGAAAAAAAAAAAAACTTACTGTGCACGCGATAGCCTTTTGATTCTTTTAACTTTAAACTCCTGAAAGTAAAAATACAAAAATGTATGAAACGCGATGAGACAGTGTCATTCTTCCCGTTGCAGACAAGTGTTTGGTTAATCCCTTCTGTCTGAAGACTCAGGTACTTTAATTTTATCGGTCTCATAAAATTTTGTACAAACGTCATTTTGCCGCCAACTAAATATTGCCACGAAAACTCTAATTACTTGCTGTATCGTAGGAATAAAAGCTGAATAAAAGATACCCTTATGATTGTCATATGCATTTAGTTTACACTGTCAAAAACAGAAATACAAGAAGGCATTTGATGTGATGTTTGAGATACGTGGGGATAGTCAGTACCCCATAATGCGTTGTTTGGGACCAAACGATTTAATTAATAAATGACTCTACAAGGTCGACCCTGTCTCTACTGAAGCATTCATTCCTGCCTTGTATATTTTAACAGTAGAGGCGGGGTTAATTAATGCAAAACTGATTTGAGCCATCAGCAGGTCCTTTGCAGAACGTCGCTCTCATCACAGCCTACCTGAAAGAAATGCGGTCTCTCGCTAGCTCTCCCGCCTAGTGTATTTTAGTATTCAAGGAGTCATTTATATCCTGCCCCCATTTTCACGTTGGTCGGGCCCTATCCCTCCTTCCTCGTACCATGCCTTCTGCTATTATCTTTTCCCCCAGTCCGCTATGGCACTGGATATAACCAAAATATTTCAGCTTCCGATTCAAGATGCTGTGTATTAGCCAGTCTACCTTGATGCTCAGATCTTTTAAAATGCCAGTACAGAGAGTTGAACAGTATATCATGTCAGTAGAAATAAGGAACAAGTTGCGAGTTGTTTAGTGCTGAATACACACTGGTCGAACGGAGAGACAGCTTGGAAACGAGGAGCAGGGAGAAAAAAAAATATTTTTAAATTGCTACACAACTCAGCTGAGTAGACATCGTTGTCAAGATCATTCAGAAATGATATTTTTCAAGGCGTTGTAATTGTTAAGGACTATGTCTTCAGAGTTATTTACCATGCACTGAATATGCGTTTACTGAAACCAGCGTAGTCCGTAACAATAAAAGTGAACGCTCGCTTTGTGTAAACAAAATGAACATGTAGTAACTTCGGTTTTGCCATATTAAACACTTCCTGCATTTTCCAGGAGACATGTACATTGTAAGAAGATACTGTTATTTGTGTATTTAAGTGAAAGGGATTGTTTATTATATTTTAGTGTAATTATGTAATGCATCTGACGAGATACATCGAAAAATGCCTAGAAATAAAATTGCGTAATGTATTCTTTGAGTCCTTTTTATTCAATTTACTACATAAAACTTTAGTTTTAACACCAACTTGATCAACAATCATACCAAACATCAGCAAAAGCAAAATCAACAACATAAACATCAGTAACAAAAATTCAATAATAAACAAAAGCAAAATTGTCAATAACAGCAACAGCATTAATAACATCATGATCAACGCCAATAATGATAACAACAACAGCTTCACCCCCCCCCCCCAAAAAAAAATCAACAATATATACGGAAAAATATCCCCCCCCCCCCCTTCCTAAAAAAAAAGAACGAAATAATATCTTACATTTGGAAGATAAGAATAATGTGGCGGTAACGTTTTCAGAGTGTCCGCCAGGTTCCCATCTAACATGGCCTTGAAGATGGCCGTCGTGGCATCACAGAACCGCGCAAACTCCTTGTACTGGGACTTTGGCAAGTCCTGATTGGCCAGCTGGTCACTGAATATCCTAATACAATTTAAAGACACACAAACATTGGTATAACAATCTATATACATCATGTTCATACTCTCAATGCACTGTCAGTGAACAACAGTTCGAACATCTGATACTCAGTTTCCGATTGTTCGGAAGTTTGACAATTAGCGTTCGATCGTTTAAAAATCTTATTATACTTAGTTGTCTGACTACTCAGAGCAGAAAAAGGGGGCTGCGTGGTCTCGAGGCATGGTGTCCGCGTCGGGTGATAGAGGTTCTGGGCTCAATCCCCGGTAAGGGCTGGGATCTTTTCATACGGACTTGGACTTCTAGTAATTTTCCCCTGGTCTCTGGGTAGTGAGATCGGACGCCGTGTGCATTGCTGCGCTCGTTAAAAAAATCCCTTGGCAGTTGGAAATCTTAAAGAGTAGCCTAATGGCGCTGCACGCGCAAAATTTAGAGTTTAAATCTACCCAAAGTATTTCAGGATCCTCGCCGGTACTACAGAGCATGTGCACTGTGCTGAGCTTCTTCGGACTCAGACTTGAGTTAGAAAAACAACCGAGCACTTATGGGTTACTACCCGTGTGCCATGATGTTGGTCCGTTGTTCAAAACCAAAATCTTCATAACTGAATTCTCTGTGTTTAACCGTTTGAAAGAGTGATACTCTGTATCCAACCGTACAAACATCTGATGTTAAGTTTCCGACTGGTCGAAAGTAGGATAGCTCAGTGTCCGACCGTTTGAAGGTAGAGTACTCTGTGTCCGACCGTTTGAAGTAGGGCACTCTATGTCCTACAGTTTAAAGGTATGGAACTCTATGTCCGACCGTTTGAAGGTATGGTACTCTATGTCGACCGTTTGAAGAAAGGGTACTCTTCTTCTTCTTCTTCTTTCGTTCGCCTGGAAAAGGTTGTTTATATCAGCAATTTTGTCTCTTGTATAAATTTCACTGTTGTTGTTAATTCATTCAGTGGTCCATAGAGTTAACGTTCCACTGTTGTTCTTTCTGGCCAAAAGGTTTGCCCTAATGTGTCAAATTGGTGCAGTCCTGGAGTACATGCTCTGCTGTCTGGGCACCTTTCCACAGGTGCACATGGCTGGTACGCCTATCTTGAATTTTGTGTACACGTGGTTACTTAATCGGTTGTGCCCTGTTCTGAGGCGGAGGATAATGACTTGTTCTGATCTGTCCATAATAAAATAGTCGTCTTGTGCTGGGGCTGGTGGTTTCCTGATTGCTTTAATGATTATTTTCTTTTGGTGGTATGTGACTGGTACATCCGGCTGCACTTTTGTCGCACCTTCTCCTGCCAGTTGATCAGCTTTCTCATTTCCAGGCACTCCACAATATGATGGTATCCACTGCATTACAACTCTTCGCTGAAGGCTAAGTTGTGTCAGCAGTGTTTGGAATTCTGGTAGTTTCCTAGACTGGAGTGCTTCAAGTACTGATTTAGCATCTGTCAGCATTAACACATACTGTGAGCCAAAGTTGGTATTTAGCAGTTTCTCTGTTGCTATCTTGATAGCCTGAGTTTCTGCATCATAGTTATGGCAGTACTTTCCGGTTGGTACGCTGGACTTATTCATAGTACCAAAAGGGTACTCTGTGTCCGACCGTTTGAAGTAGGGCACTCTATGTCCGACCGTTTGAAGGTATAGTACTCTATGTCCGACCGTTTGAAAGTATGGTACTCTATGTTGACCGTTTGAAGAAAGGGTACTCTGTGTCCGACTATTCAAAAGCTCGATACTCAGTGTCCGACTTATAGCAAGTCATTATGTCTGTGTGGTGGATACTTGCAGCGAGTTATTATGTCTGTGTGGTGGATACTTGTAGCAAGTCATTATGTCTGTGTGGTGGATGCTTAAAGCAAGTCATTATGTCTGTGTGGTGGATACTTAAAGCAAGTCATTATGTCTGTGTGGTGGATACTTACAGCAAGTCATTATGTCTGTGTGGTGGATACTTAAAGCAAGTCATTATGTCTGTGTGGTGTATACTTACAGCAAGTCATTATGTCTGTGTGGTGGATGCTTAAAGCAAGTCATTATGTCTGTGTGGTGGATACTTACAGCAAGTCATTATGTCTGTGTGGTGGATACTTGCAGCGAGTTATTATGTCTGTGTGGTGAATACTTAAAGCAAGTCATTATGTCTGTGTGGTGGATACTTACAGCAAGTCATTATGTCTGTGTGGTGGATACTTGCAGCGAGTTATTATGTCTGTGTGGTGGATACTTATAGCAAGTCATTATGTCTGTGTGGTGTATACTTACAACAAGTCATTATGTCTGTGAGGTGGATACTTATAGCAAGTCATTATGTCTGTGTGGTGGATACTTACAGCAAGTCATTATGTCTGTGTGGTGGATACTTATAGCAAGTCATTATGTCTGTGTGGTGGATACTTATAGAAAGTCATTATGTCTGTGTGGTGGATACTTACAGCAAGTCATTATGTCTGCGTGGTGTATACTTACAACAAATCATTATGTCTGTGTGGTGGATACTTATAGCAAGTCATTATGTCTGCGTGGTGTATACTTACAACAAATCATTATGTATGTGAGGTGTATACTTACAGCAAATCATTATGTCTGTGTGGTGTAAACTTACAGAAAGTCATTATGTCTGTGTGGTGTAAACTTACAGCAAGTCATTATGTCTGTGTGGTGTATACTTACAGCAAGTCATTATGTCTGTGTGGTGTATACTTACAGCAAGTCATTATGTCTGTGTGGTGGATACTTACAGCAAGTCATTATGTCTGTGTGGTGTATACTTACAGCAAGTCATTATGTCTGTGTGGTGGATACTTACAGCAAATCATTATGTCTGTGTGGTGTATACTTACAGCAAGTCATTATGTCTGTGTGGTGTATACTTACAGCAAGTCATTATGTCTGTGTGGTGTATACTTACAGCAAGTCATTATGTCTGTGTGGTGTATACTTACAGCAAGTCATTATGTCTGTGTGGTGTATACTTACAGCGCGTTATCATGTCAGAGTGGTTGATACTTACAGCAAGTCATTATTTCTGTGTGTGGCTGCTTACGGCAAGTCATTATGTCTGTGTGGTGGATGCTTGCAACAAGTCATTATGTCTGTGTGGTGGATGTTTACTGCGAATTATTATTTCTGTGTGTTGGATGCTTACAGCAAGTGATTATGTATGTGTGGCGGATACTTACAGCAAATAATTATGTCTGTGTAGTGGATACTTACAGCAAATAATTATGTCTGTGTAGTGGACACTTACAGAAAGTGATTATATATGTGTGGTGGATGTTTACTGCGAATTATTATGTCTGTGTGTTGGATGCTTACAGCAAGTGATTATGTATGTGTGGCGGATACTTACAGCAAATAATTATGTCTGTGTAATGGATACTTACAGCAAATAATTGTCTGTGTAGTGGACACTTACAGCAAGTGATTATGTCTGTGTAGTGGACACTTACAGAAAGTGATTATATATGTGTGGTGGATACTTGGCACAGCAATCCTGAAATAAAATATCAGACAAGAGATCACACACTTGCAAGCGACTCCAAACATTTTCTTTGAATGGATCCTGTCTCTATCTTCTTAAGCATGCTCATGGAATAGCCCAGAGAGTACACAGGGGAAAAATGCTAGGTCTCTAACTACATCACTGCTTCTCTTATCCCTATCACCTCCATAGTCAGATTACTTGTAGTCGAGACAAAAGCACAGCTATTTTCTTTTACAGTTTCTACTTGAACCGGAACCGTGAAAGACCATGAACTTTATACGTGACGAACGACGGATTCGTCAATGTAGATAACTGCAGCCCCATCAGCTGAATTTTCAAGAAGGCAGGCTTGAACTTGAGTATTTTCCTGGTTTATTAACAAACAAACAAATTGCCTCGGAACCACTGAGGGTATTGAAATACCAAAGGTAATTTAAAAAAAAAAAAAAATCGAGACTGCAGTCAGGTTAATATCAAGGTGGTAATCTACTCAGCTATGACTTAGAAGCTGAAGAAAGGTGAACAAAACACACAGGAACCGTTGGACGTTTTGGCAGAATTTTTTGTCGATAAAGGTTGCTGCCGAAAGGTGTGCTTGCTCCTATATTTACACCCCCACCCCCTTCTAGTTCAGGTCATAATCACAGTTCAGTGAATTAAGATCATTGAAATTGCACGAGGTACAAAATGACCTACAGAACAAGTAGAGATGGACTCACTAGACGACACAACAATTGAAAGCTAAAGCAATAGTGTCTGTAATTACAGTGTTTTTAAAACCATGTTCCCTTTGTTCACGTTTTTGGGACGACTTCTTGGCCTAGAATTACTTGGCTTATCTTCAAATCACAAAGCGGTGACTTGTGTTTATTCTATATTTCTCTTGTTATCTGGGCTTTAATGGCTTTATTGTGTTTTAGTAGGGGAAATGTTTAGTAAGGGAAATGTTTAGTAGGGGATGTGTTTAGTAGGGGAAATGTTTAGTAGGGGAAATGTTTAGTAGGGGAAATGTTTAGTAGGGGAAATGTTTAATAGGGGAAATGTTTAGTAGGGGAAATGTTTAGTAGGGAAAATGTTTAGTAGGGGAAATGTTTAGTAGGAGAAATGTTTAGTAGGGGAAATGTTTAGTAGGGGAAATGTTTGTTTAGTAGGGGAAATGTTTAGTAGGGGAAATGTTTAGTAGGGGAAATGTTTAGTAGGGGAAATGTACGTTCTGCTAACTCTAACCGTTTTAATTTCCTTCATGCATCACACACACGCACATCATTTGTCCGAAACGCTGAAATAACCGAAACGTGGTGAGTGAAACATATAAATTATGTTTACTTTGTTCTTCACTTACATTACGATCGCATGTGCATTGAACACTACTAACCTTCTCGAGCAAATATATATATCTCTTGAGCTCTTCGTTGCTTTTACCGTTTTCATCTGTAGCAGGATAAAGATATGTCATTGTCAACATAATAAATTAATTCATATTTGTAAGATACATCAAAACAATGGATGCTAGTGCTTTATTAATATCCTACCCCAAACAGGGGAAACCACAGGGGACAGTGTAATATTTCAGGGGGTGGTAGGTAGGCCGCCTGTAGTCGTGGGACCTAGGCTGCATGCAGTCGTGGGACCTAGACTGCACTCTCTCGTGAAACGTAGGTTGGTTGGGTTAGAGCCAGATCTATATGTTTAGGCGGTAATTAAAAGCATCAGAAAGCCGAGAAACCCAGTCTTACCACCCTCTAAAATGTTGGACTGTCCTGTGACGTCATCTGGGCGTAGGATATTAATAAAGCACCAAACAATGTTTTTTTTTGTGTGTGTGTGTGTGTGTGTGTGTGTGTGTGTGTGTAAATCTGTACAAAGAAGACTTTAAACAGATGGCTGATAAAGAATACTTGTGTGTGTCTGTGTGGCCGTCGGTCCCGTTAAACAGTTTCTTGAATAAATATGATGTCATTAAAAACCGACACCAACACCGAATCTGTCACCATAACATATACTGTGACCAACATCACACAATCGTCTTTACTAGGCTACCACACCCCGAAAAAACCATAATCCATTTTCGTCCTTTTTAGGATGACATTTTTTGTTTTTTGAAACCCCACCCTGGCTTTTGCCAGAGGCCGCAATATAGGCAGACCATAAATATGGTTAATTGTCTGACGGCGATCCTCATCCACATGGTGGCACTTTGTGTCATCGGGTGTTTATCGATTGTGTGATGTCCTAGTGGGGTAAAAAGTCATTCAGTCAGTCAGCTACCACCCTGAATAACCAACTACTAAAAGGGTCTCCGTAGAAATATAGCCGTTTGCATAGCGCTCTTAAGGTCGTTGGTTCTTTTCCTGAACGGCGTCGTTCGGTTCACGAGTACAACTTTCGCGGAGATCCCTGTGGCTGTCTTCGCTGCGAGCTACGGAGAGCGTATTTTGTGCGATACTCTCGATAGGCGGCTAGCCGTTCTGCAGAGCGAGGCCTAGCCAATGGGATAAAACCCAATTCTCTTCTTCTTCTTCTGCCTTTCTATCCCCCAATGGAGCATAGGCCCTCAACCAACTCACGCCAAGTCGTTCTATCCTTCGTTATTACCTGGAGCTCTCCCTCCATGTCCTCTCCATCTTTCTAGCTTAATTCTCCAGCTCTCTCTTCTCCACGTGTTTTTTTTTTTTTTTTTTGTGGCCTTTCTTTATTCCTATGCCCCTGTGGGTTCCAATGCAAAGACATTTTAGTTATGCTGTTCTCCTGTTTTCTCAATGTGTGTCCTTTCCAACGCCAGCGTATTTTTCTCACGTCTTGGTCCACTGGAGCTAGATTAGTTCTCTCCCAAAGCTCTACATTATTTATTCTATCATACCATTTAATTCCCTCTATTTTGCGCAGGCACCAGTTAATGAATGTCTGTAATTTATTAGTAATTGCCTCAGTTGTTCTTCATGTTTCCGCCCCATACAATAGTACTGATTTGACATTAGAATACAATTTTTTTAATTTAGTAATTCTTTTAATTCCTTTTATCCTCCACAAATTCCCTGGTGCTACAAAAGCTTCTCTTGCCTTTTGTATTCTTATTTTAATATTTCTGTCAGTTCCTCCGTCTTTATCTACATTACTGCCCAAATAGGTGTACGACTCCACGTCTTGGAGTAGGGTGCCATTAAGAGAAACCACATTTCTATTTGCCTGATTTATTCTCATAAAACTCAATTCATTGAAGTTGATCTCCCTGCACAGGCCTGCAGTTTACATCTGGCTGCCGTAGCCGCCACGGGTGACCTAATTAGAACTTCTTTGAGGGTTGAACAGGGTACCTGGGATCTGCCTTGTCAGCCTAATATTCGGATTACGTTCTGAGTAGCGTAATCTCAGAAAGGTATCGTCAACCTTTAGGCACCGTCCTGGAGGCAAAAGATCGATCATTGATCCCATCAATTTTAGCTTCGTCCACAATACCCCTTAACCACTAATATCACCACAATTTCTACAATCATCAATACCACTACACATTCACTATTATCAGTTAACTACCAAAACCCTCACTCTCACGGCTGCTGTCACTCTCATCCTCTTCACCTCACCAGTTATGAGTTTATCATGACCCCACCACCCACTGACGTCAGAACCTACCTGTCAATAAAGCTCCTTTAGTCAGGTCCCGTCTCATACGTAACATTTTGTTACTTTCTTCCATTTGCTGTTGAAAAGGAGGGGGGGGGGGGGTAATAACAGGAGAAACTGTCATATGTCTGTAATATTATGAAACATCAAATAATTAAAATGTTGTTATTTTCCGTAGGATTAGGGTTTAAGTTTAAACAACGGATCAATATCCTGGCACACCGGTAATAACCCACAAGTGCCCCGATCTCCTTCTAAGTCAAACGAGCCCGAAGAGTCTCAGCGCATTGCACGAACCCCGCAGCACCGCGTACCTTAGTGATCCTGAGATTTGTAGTGCAAAGGTACTGGTCAGAGAGCACTGTTCTACACATCCAAAAGATGTTTCCTGAACCTGTCTGCTAGTCGAATCCCTGTTTCACCGATGTATTTCACACCAAATTATAGGCTCGAAAGCTGCTTAAAGTAACTTATAATAACCTTATAGTTTCTGGGCTGAGTGGAATAGAATTTCCTGTGTGGGTTCAGGGCCGTTATAGAGGGTTGGGGGCGAACGAATAGACCCATCACCCTCAAAAGCATGCAGTAAAAGCACCCACTGATTGCATCTGACTAAGAGGTAAAGAACCAACACAGTTGGCTTACAATAAGCCAGATCTATAGGCGAATGTGCACGCGAAACATAGGTTCTGGAACAAGATAAACGTTTTAAAGTGGACGTTAATCAGGACCTTCCGCCTGAGTTTAGAGCCGGTGAGCGCGAAGAAGAAGAAGAAGAAGAAGAAGAAGAAGAAGAAGAAGAAGAAGAAGAAGAAGAAGAAGAAGAAGAAGAAGAAGCGGAAGAAAAGGAAGATGATGATGATGATGATGATGATGATGATGATGATGATGGTGATGATGATGATGATGATGATAGTAACATACAATATTTCTTTATAGTGACTGGACATGAGATAAGTGTGTAGTATGGTTACTTACTGCCAGTCGTCTTGTTAGATTTTCGGTGATTTTCTTCTGATCGTCCAGTTCTTTCTCCAAATCTTTGATTCTCAAACAATCAAAATTGTAATAAGTTATAGACAATTCTTTGTTTTTCGTAACACAACTTGTTATGTTAATTGTGGAGGGTTTCCGTAGACTGTTAGCTGTAAGTTATAAAGCTTTTTGTGTGTGACTTACTGACTAGAACACTGAATGTCAATAGTTAACAATGAGTATTGCAGGTGGGTACTAGGTTGGCGTCTGTTGACCGCAAGTTACCAATTCTTGTAGAGGAAACAATTGCAACCCATGGTCTCTTATAGCTTGTGCTTTCACCCGAGCACGGAACTGAGTTGTAACCGTTAACAACATGGCTGCGATATCTGTGCCTTTCGGCCGACACATCAAACTTCTTCATATACTTGTTGCCCGGTCAAATCTAGGTCTGACCCCTGGCAATCCGCATGTGCAGTGCCGAATAGTGATTTGACCTGATTTCGAGCAAAAACCTGTCCACTCTGTTCCAACTGCTTTTTTCTGAGCCTCGATTTTAATACCGGTCTTTGATGTGTGATTTTAGGCTTTGTTAGGTCGTATTGGTAGATAAGCCTTACCATGTATTTTTCTCGTTGCCATCCATGCTGAATCATGACTCGATTATATCTTAATATCCTTTGCTTCTTCTTCACTTTCTTTTATTTTCATAACCGCTTCCGGTATAGAAGGAGATGTAAGGTCTGCTTCCTACTCCTCTTACCGCCTCGACCATAACATACATTGTGCTGTTTCAGATTTTCTTTGATGTTATCTTTCCATCTTGTTCTTGATCTACCTTGTGCTCTACGTCCTTCTTCTCTTTTGGTGTTTAATTATGTCCTGTATGATATGTCGTCACATGGAATTATCTCTTAAGATGGCAAACCTTTTGATTTTCGTTCGAGATACTATCCAGTTTCGTCCTTTTTAGAATGAAATTTTTTGTTATTTGAAGCCCCACCCTGGCTTTTGCCAGGGACCGCAATATATGCAGGCCATAAATATGGCCAATTGTCTGAACGCGGTTTCTGGGACCTCTCCACGGCGATCCTCATCCACATGGTGGCACTTTGTGTCATCGGTGTTTATTGCTTGTGTGATGTCCTGGTGCTGTAGAAAGTTAGTCAGTCATATTCTTTCTTTGCAAGTAATTTAGAATTGATTCTACACTGACTTTTTGTTTGACCTAATTCCTGATTTGACCTCTTCTCATCACTCATGCAGCCCATCTCAGACATCTCATTCCATAGTTATAATTTATTTATAACCTAATATACCTTTAATGAATGTGACAATTAAAGTATCAGTCTTGCAGACCTCGCCTGTTTCGTATTTACAGACGAGGACGGACAGCTCTGCAACACAGCTCCCGCTGGAAAATAATTTCCTATAGGGCTAGGGAAAAAAAACTAAACTTTTCTACATAAACGTTTTGACAAAATCCGTTTTCAGGGCTCAAACGAATTTGTCAATGCATCGAATGTACGAATTAAAACTGAGTCTTCTGGACAGTGTTTTTCAACATGTGTGCATCTGCAGACCCTTAAAATAGGAGAAATATCACACGGACCATTTGATAGCTTAAGACAATAAAAAATACAGTGTAAATAATATTTTATTTACTGATTACAATGTTATTACAATGTTAGGTTAATGTGACATCTGCTGATTAATGTTTTGAATATCTGGTATACGTAGGTAGAGTGTTGTTTCTGAGAGTCGAAGCTCAACAATAACATTGTTTGATTTCTTCACCGTAGTCGCTTCAAGATTGGGTGGACATTCTTGACGGACGTAACTGAAATTACTGTTGCCAGACACCAGTATGTGAACAAGGGGTTGAAGTACATACGATTTACGATTTTAAAAAAGTCAACAGTAAGTAATTCGAAAACAATGTAACTTCTATATGTGTCATCATTACGGAGACAACGAGATAACAACTAGTTTTGAATTACTGTATAACAATCGACATTATAGCACACCGGGAATACTCATAGTCTCCCACAGCAAATGTCTTAAGGTGTAGATGGGGACTGTTCCCAAGCTCACTAATTATATACATGTCGTTTTCTTATTCTCAGACCTACCTCCTTGCCGGATCTATGCCTGTTTCCTCGTTCACACTTTCTTACATATGTTATATCATCTAATCTCCTGTCTTCGTTCACAAATGGTTTTCAGAATGTCCCCTTTGTGCAGTACGAATATTTCCGTAGCTACCACTTTTGTAACAAGAAAATCTGCTCTTTCATTCCCCCTTCCCCCTCGCACTCCTGCGTATCCCGTACTTTATATCCACGTGAGTCCCTGTTATGATAAGACGCTGATGTTTGGTATCCACGGATGCCAATAATCAGACACTGTAATTTCTCTGGCAACTCTATTTTCTACTATCCACTTCACAGCTGCAATGATTGCCTCCACCCTCATACTCATGATCGAAATTATAGATAAAAAGCCACCGTTTTGTTGTACCACGATCGTTGCCTACACTCTAGATGAAAATTTTCAGCCAAATATTTCACCCAAATAAACAGAACAAAACTTCCTGTAATCAGTAGCTTCCTTCTGTTACTGTGGCAAGGAAGGTTTCAAAAGTCTGTCTGACGTTGTCTGCGTCTGTCATTTCCCTAAGGTCCTTCTGACCTGGTCAACAACATTCTAACTGAAGTCAGTGGTGGCTCGGGAAACAGCTGATTTACTTGGATGTTACTTGTCCCCCAATTCTGTTAATCCGACCCAGTGCTGCTAGATTTATGTGTGTCACTTGTTAGGATTGCTCCCTTTTTGTTGCTGTCTTTGTTCTCTGAAGACATTTGTTCTTCCCTTTATCCCTTATTTTTTTTTCTATGACCGGTTCTTAACTCCTGTAGCTCTTTAGCGGTCAGCTCAATGCCATGCTCCTCTATTAGCTTCTCTATGTCTGCTTGATCAGATTCCAAATGCATGGTCTTGGCCTTCCTTCCTGCTTTGCGAAAGAAAAAAATCGTCACATTCAGCCAGCATCCCCAGAGGGGAAGCACCAGGCTATATTTGTGAGTAGGTTATGTGTGCCATATAAAATGACTATTAGCACTGCAGACCATCAAGTAGTCCTATAAAAAAAGACTCGTACAGTGTTGATGCCATCAAGCGAGACAGACCCAAAAACGTTCACCGTCCACCGGTGGACTCTTCGCCACCGGCCAGTCAATCAGCCACCCGGTCGCCCATGCATGGTCTTGTCCTGGGAGACCACTGTGTCTACAGTGTCAGTTTCGCTGTCAGGTCCTTCCAGTGCAGTTCCTCGGACACAGTGCGTTCAGCATGCGTCACACACACACACACACAGACACACACCGACACACAGACACACACTCAGACACACACACAGACACACACAGACACACACAGACAGCCACACACACAAAGACACACACACAGACACACACAGACACACACACAGACAGACACACACACACAGACACACACACAGACATACGCACATACACACACAGACACACACACAGACAGCCACACACATACAGACACAGACACACAGATGCACACACAGACACACAAACAGAAACACACAGACACACAGATGCACACACAGACACACACACACAGAGACACACACAGACACCCACACACAGACACCCAAACACAGAAACACAGATACACACACAGACACACACACACACATACACACACACACATCATTCGTTACGTCGTATTCCAGAGAAATTCGACGTAATAACAGCAGTTACACGCCCTTGCTAAATGCATCATGGCTTCTATTTCGTAAAGCTCAAAATGAGATATGAAAAAAGTTCCTACTTGGAAAATTCGTATGTAGAGTAGTTAGCAGTCGAGCTAACACTGTAATGACAGTCATGACTTTCTGTTTGTTTTTTCCTACACCCGATCCCCTCTGAATGTTGAAAGTCGAATGTTGAAATAAGAATGGACATCACAGCGCTAGGAAAACTCGATTAAGTGCCCAGTCCTCATCTTCAGCAGCAAGCGAAAAGTTCCAGTTCTGATGGTACCAGTAACAGTTTCATTGTATATCCGTCTCATCCTTCCCCCAGGTGTTGAGCGTCGGCCGGATCCCCTGGTAACTCCTCGCAGCGACATTTTCCTCAGACCGTAATGATCTATTTGCGCCTCTGCACTGTTCACTCGCTCCCAAAGAGCCCTCACAACATCTAACATGTCATACATCAGTTTACCACCAAGTGGTGCATAGCCGGTCAGTCTCCTCTAAAACCGTTAAGGTTGCCTGCAATTCACGATCTTCGTCGCTAGTGTGCAAACCACTTAACTTAGAGTATAAATTTAGTGGTGATCATGATACATGCATTGAAAGTAATGATAAAACAGTGATAACATACTTTTGGTCAGACTGGGCAAAAATGCGTTCTTTTTCTCTCTCCCAAAGCTGGACGTTCTGTTGCCTCTGGAGCCTGCGGTTAAAACACAAAAATTGTTTAATCACAATGTATGGCCAACTCATAAGTTGTGTAGAGCATACTCTCTAACGACTGGAAACCGTGGTAGCATAGCGGTTAGACGCATTCCGGTTGACCCGAATATCTACTGTTCAAATCCCTATGGGGGCAGATCCCCCCACCCCAACATTAACCTTGGCTTCCAGATCGACCCAGTGCCATTTATTGCCCTGAGCAGTAAAGACTGCCGCTGTAATATTGATCACATCATCCATAGAGTGCTGAGTTTTTCTTCTTCTTCTCATCCACTTTGTACCTCAACGTAGTGTCCGGAGGGTGGGGGGGGGGGGGGGGGGGGGGGGATGTAACATTCGTTGATGAGCTCTGTAAAGAGCAGTAATAAGACTGATGTTCATTTCTGTAAGGCTGTTCCTAATGCCATCACTCCATATTTTCCGATGTCTTCCAGTCGTTCTATACCCGTTGTACCGTTTTAGTGTGGCTCGCTGTGTCAGATGGTACCAGGTCATTTTTGTTAGGTCTTCAAACCACTTTATTTGTTGTTCTTTGATGACCTTAAGACTGGCTTTATTCCTAGCATTCGTCTGATTTCGTGATTTTGTTTTCTTTCTTTCCCTGAAACTCTTGCAGCTCTTCTAAGGGTTTTCATCTCTTTTATCACAATTTCATTGCCACGTTCATTGGAGGATGTAAGAGTCCACGTTTGGCACTGACCGCATAGAGTGCAGACTGGTCTATAAAACCACAGGTCTAGCACTAGGTGTCCCATATGCCAAAAGCGTGAAAGGATATAGGTGATGAGTTTTACCTTATGTGGCTCGGTTCATTCTCTCTCCGCAGAGCAGCTAAGAGCCTGTCGAGAATGTCATACAAACTCTGTAGCTTCGGCGACGAATAGCAGGGATCTCAGTAAAAATTGCACTCGTGTACTGACCTAAGCTGCCTAAAACGAATCCACGACCTTCAGAGCGCCAGGCAAACGGCTTGACCACTTGATCCTCTTCTGCCCTGGGATGTAGAGCTGTGTTCCATTCCAGTCCTCTGTCAACGAGAGACTTTCGAAATTGTCTTCCCAGCGAAAGCTGGGTCGTCCAGGAGGTACGGTTCCCTGGTCCAGGACGAGCTCCAGATAAAAGGCCACACAGCTCAAACTGGAATTCCCGTTTTTGTGAGGCTGGCGTGGCCGGTCGGTGGTAACAATTAATATCGAGTAGATTTATACACAAATTGAACTACAGTTTAATAAATTTGCAACATGTGTTATTGAATAAATTATCATTTTGAAGATAAATATTTTCTAATACCCCATTTATTTATCTTCAAAATAATAATTTATTGAATAACACATGTTGCAAATTATTTAAAATGCAGTTCAATTTGTATATAAATAATAACTCGATAACAATTGTTACCAGTTAGCCACACAAAAACGGAAATTTCCGTTTGAGCTACATGTCCTTATATCTGGATTGGTCCACTCGAGTGTGCAAGACCTGGATTTAAATATCATGACGCATTGTCCGATTGCGACTTTCGTCCCTTCTTGTCATCTCATTCAGGGCCACCAATACTGGGTCCCCCCCCCCCTCCCCCAGGTCTGGGTTTTTATTTGACACCTGGGAGAAATCTGGGATGTTTTTAAAAATATATTTTTATATTAAAGTGGTAAATGTTTCGTTTCGTAAATATAAATTTTGTAAATTTTAACAATATGGGGGAGGGAGAGAGAGAGAGAAAGGGGGGGGGGGGGGGGGGGGGGGGGGTTCTTTGTCTGAGAAACACTCGCTCTTATTGCATGGGAAAGTCTCCCTGCTGTTGCTTTCCTAGCAGCCAGCTCTGCCAGCTTTATTTACAACAGACACAATCAGTCAGGAAGCCACTGTAGCGCAGTGGCTAGTCTCCTGCCTGCCAGCCTACAGGTCTTTGCTTCAAATCCTTCTATGTAATGTAGGGAAGTTGAAGCGACAGGTGTGATGTAGTCAGTGACGCTGTGAAATGTTTTCTTTAAAATAATTTAAATTTTTTTAAAAACTTACCAACCAATGAACGAACGAACGAACGAACCAACCAACCAGCTATCCAACCAACCAACCAACACACCAATCAACCAACCAACCAACCAACCAACCAACCAACCAACCAACCAACTAACCATCCAACCAACAAACCAACCAACCGAGGCAATACATTTCTCATTAAAGAAGGAGAAACAACACAAGACAATGGATGACAACTACTCACTCGACAATTTTATCACTTTTGGACTTAACCAGACCCTCCCAGAAGATGAGAGACGATCGAGCGTTTTTGAGTTCCAGCTTCTCTTGGCTTGTTAGGGATCTCTCCTGCCTCAGACGGTGCTCTGCCTTTGATAGGGACGCTGTAAGGAATATGTGTGCATGCCAGTTTAAAATATAGTCGTATTACACACGCACACACGCGCACCAACACCCCTATCACACATATCTCCACACACACACACACACCTCTATACACACACACACACACACACACATATATATATATATAGACAGACAGACAGACACAAATATATAGATAGAGAGAGAGAGAGAGAGTGGGGTTGGGGGGGGGGGGGGGGTGGAGAGAAAAACCAATAATAGAATGCTTTTCTGTGTGGGTATAATTCACTATATGGTGTGACTCATCATCATCAGGTGCCTTGCCGACTGGCGTGGGCGATCATGCCTCTTCATAATCCGCGATCTCCTGCAGCATGTATCAGTTCGTGTGCCGACACACCTCCATGCCATGCAACAAGACTGTCAAGCATCTTCTCTCGTTGTCTTCCTCTATCCCTCCTTCCACAGATCTTTCCAGTGGTCACAACATGTTCTATTTTCCCTCTTCTCATAACATGGCCGAAAAATGATGACTGTCTCCTTCTGATGTCAGTGATAAGTTGTCTTCGGTCTCCCGCCTCTTTTAAAACCTCTTGGTTGCTCTTTTTGGCTGTCCAAGGTATTCTAAGCATTCTTCTGTAAAACTACATCTCTGAGGCCTCTAAAAATTGTTTGGCCTGCCTACCGATTGTCCAGGATTCACATCCATATGTTAAAACTGGATGTATGTAGCAAGCAAGAATTCTTTTTCTAACTCTCAATGACAAGGATATATTGCACACAAGATGTTTTTCATTTTATAAAATGCAGTTTTTGCCCTGTCCAATTCTGTTTCTTATTTCAGTTATGCATCTTCCATCTGATGTTATCCATGTGCCCAGATACTTAAATTTCTGTACTTGTCTTAAAATAACACCATTGACTTTTATTACACATTTAGGAATAATTTGTTTCTTTGATACCACCATTACTTCTGTCTTCCCATTATTCAAACTGAGGCCCATTCTTCCACTTTCTAACACCACAATGTCTATCATTTCCTGTAATTCTTTCTGACTTGTTGCTATCAAGACTGTGTCATCAGCATAACGTAAATTGTTTATATTGTGCCCACCAACCACGATTCCAGGCATTTCAATTAAAGATCTCATAATATATTCACTGTATATTGAAAACAAATCAGGTGAAAGTACACATCCCTGTCGTACGCCCCTCTTTATGCTTTGAAATGTACCTAAACAGTTGTTAATTCTTATAGCTGCTGTTTGCTGCCAATACATATTCTTTATTATTCTTAGATCTTTCCCATCAATGTTTAATTTTTCTAACAGTTTGATTACTTCTTCATGCTTCACACAGTCAAATGCTTTTGTATAGTCTATGAAGCATAAGTACAAATCAGTCTTTACTTCTATAGCTCTTTCTGACAATGTCCTTAGGATGTATATGGCATTGTTTGTACCTTTTCCTTCTACAAATCCACATTGTTCATCGCTGATTTCTGGTTTAATTTTGTTTCTTATTCTTCTCATAATTATTCTCAGTAAAATCTTAGTCATGTGACTCATAAGACTTATTGTGCGATGGTCTTCACATTTTAAAGTGCCTGGTTTCTTCGGCAGAGCTATAAATATGGATTTTAAAAGGTCATTTGGAATATACCCACTGTTATAAATATCATTTGAAAGTTTAGTTATTATTTCAATTCCAAAATTATGTGACTATGCGGCTTAATTTTCAAATAACATAACAGTTTTGGAATTTTGGAAAAACTTTAGAAATTAAGTATAAAAAACTTCGCCAGCCATCACTGATAAACTACAAACATTAAATGGGTGCTTGTACAGGATTTGGGGAAAAAGGGGGAAGGGGAGGAGATAAAATGACCTTAAAAGTAGCGGCACGGTTTTAGGCGATTTATGGAGAGAAATAAATATATTTACATAAAACGAATTCTTACCTTCTAAATCAGATTTCTCTTTCGCCATTGTCTTCACAGACTTCTCACAGTACTGAAAATCGTAGAACACATGATATTCTCAAATACCGTCGTAGACTTTGTGAATATTGTATATAAAATAATCAAACAGACAATGTATTAATCGGCACTCACAAAAAGAAGTAGAAAGACACACTAGACAACATAAACATCGAAAGTTATAGTTACCGTGCCGGGTATCGAGCCTGTCACATCCAAATGGCTGTGCGCCTCGCTATGGAAATAAGTGTACTAAGAACATGACCAACTACGTCCTCGAAGGCATCCCTCTGATTATTTATACTTCGTGAAACTTGAAGCCACTAAAAATGCCTAAATTTTACACTAAAAATGCCTAAATTTTACACTAAAAATGCCTAAATTTTACACTAAAAATGCCTAAATTTTACACTAAAAATGCCTAAATTTTACACTAAAAATGCCTAAATTTTACACTAAAAATGCCTAAATTTTACACTAAAAATGCCTAAATTTTACACTAAAAATGCCTAAATTTTACACTAAAAATGCCTAAATTTTACACTAAAAATGCCTAAATTTTACACTAAAAATGCCTAAATTAAATTTTACACTAAAAATGCCTAAATTTTACCACAGATCCCCCCCCCCCCCCCCCCCCCCACAAAAAAAAATATAATTAAAAAGCGCAACCTTTTCAGAACGAGAAGAAAACAGATAATAAAGAAACACATTACCTCAAGAATATTTTTAAGGTCCACGCTGATCCGATCAACAACTTTTACAAAATCCAGCATGATCTTGGCAGGAGAGACCATCTCGTCCTGCAGGAAGTTGCCATTGCAGTAGCCCACGAAGGGATCATTGAGAAGGATGTTGTAGATTGGCCTCCACTTGTCTTGGCTCTGATGGACGAATTTTGATATAAAATATATCTACAGAAAACCACTTGAGACATTATATTTCAGTAGCATTGAATATGGAAGAAAAATGCGGGCTTACATATTCGGCAGTTGGCGCAGTGTAGCTAACCCTCATTGCGAAGATGACACATAGTTGTTTTTTTTAATTTGTTAAAGTAGTGATACAACATAATTACCAAAGCTAAGATTATGGAATAAACTGGAAAAAAAAAAAAATTCCAGCCAATCAATGAGAAAAGCTGGCAAGTATGTGTATGAACTGGAATTTCCGCTCAGAGGAACCACTGGAAAGTGAGATACATGAAGACTTGGAAACACGGAAAAGAGTGTCGGGGAAAGGTTAATAATGTGCAGATTGCACGGAGCCAGCTACAGATGATACAACAAATAGGTCGGCTTGGCATGAATCGGCTGAAGGATTATGCAGTGCAACTGACCTTGGTGTCTGCAAAACCCCACTTCTCATTGTCGCGCAAGATTTCTCCACCTTCCATTCATGCGCTGTGACCTTTCCCATGGGCTACTGTGTCTTCCAGGGGTGTCAATTTTTTCCCGATCGTCCAAGCTTTCTGTGTTCCGCGTCGTGAGCGGGCGACAAGCAAAGCACCGTCACTTTTGGACACCAACATGGCATCTGCAAAACTTACGGCTGCCATTACTACGCCCCACCCCTTACCAAGCTATCGATTTCTTAGTTGCCGTCTGGATTTCTTGCTTTTTATTTTCAAGATGGTTTTTTTTTTCCTTTAAGCGCTCACATAACGAGAGATTTTGGGAAATCCCATAGTATATCGTGGGTGGGGCTGTTGGGTTGAGGTTAATAGTAGTCGCTCTTTATTTGATACTAACCCTTACCCTACCCCCACCCATACAATAGAATTTCCTTAAATGTTGCGTGATGTGGTCGCTTGAAAAAAAAAAAAAAAAGAACCTTTAAGATTACAGTGAACATGTTTAATTTAAATGTCAAATCAGTATTGTTATATGCAGCGCAAACAATAGGAACAACTAAGGCAATTACTGAATAAAAAAAAAAAAAAAACTACAACAAACATTCGTTAACTGGTGAACTCGCAGAAAAGAGGGAATTAAATAGTACGATAAAATCACTGATGTAGTGCATGAGGGGAGAACTAAAGCTCCAGTGGACCAAGAGGTGAAAAAAAAAAAAAAAAAAAAGACAAAGGAGTTGGATAGGACATATGTCAAGTAAACCTGAGAACAGTATAACTAGAATGTCTTTGCACTGGAACCCTCAGGGGCATAAAATAAAGGGAAAATCAAACAGCACATGGGAAAGGGAGCTAATGAGTGGAGTTACATAGATGAGGAGGATATTGGGAGAGCTGCATGCAATATCGAAGGATAGATAGATCGACTTGGCGTGAGTTGGCTGTCTATGCTCCACTGGGGGATAGAAGGCAGAACAACAATATGAAACACTGGAAAAAATTGTTTAAAAGAGGACTTTTGTGTTTGGGAAATTGCCACTTAACTCTTTTGCCAATTTATTAGGGCAGCGATTCTCAACCTGTCGGTCGCGACCCCCTTTTTTTGTTGTTGAGGGGGTGGGGGGTGGGAGGGGTCGAACGACTTCCACAGGGGTCGCCTAGGACCATCAGAAAACACATATTCATTGACGTTTTAAAAGAAAATACTTGTCTGGAGGTCGCCACAACTTGAGGGAACTGTATTAATGGGTCGTTGTAATAGGAAGGTTGAGAGTCACTGGGGGTGGGTACTTAGTGCACTTTTAAAATTCTATTTTAATTTTAACGTGCGCACGCGTGTCTGTGTAACTCTATGTGTGTGTGTGTGTGTGTGTGTGTGTGTGTGTGTGTGTGTGAAAGGAGGCAGGGAGTCCCATGGTACCTGAGCGCCCGGGTTCCGGTGCCCCCTCTGGTTCTTGACAACACAAACAGCAGACATGTAATACTCACGACTGTCTCCAGCCTTGTGGTGATGTCATCATGTGAGATGACAACCCCTCCTTGTTCGACACCAGTCTCTAGAACTTCAGAAAATATTTCCAGTAAAGCATCCAATCCTTCTTTTAACTGCCGGAGATTTTCTTTGTTAAACACAAGCTGTGCCATTCTGTCCAATCTCTGTTTTATTATAACAATTCCAGCAATAATAATAATAAGTAAAGTCAATGTAAAGGACCCTTTTCCACGCCTTCTAGGCGTATAGGGTATATAGGGTTGACCTATATTTTATAGAGCAGCCGGCACAAGATGGTTGATGTGGTCAGCATCAGGCCGGCTGCCTTTACTTCCCGGGACTGCACCCGGTACCGACTCAAGGCTGGGGCGACCTGGGAGCCAAGGTCATTTTTGAACAAAGTCCAGTTCCGCCAGGGAGCGAACCCACGAACTTCCGATCCGCGACGAGCGTAATAATAATAATAATAACAATTACAACAATATTAGGAGCCGCCTGCGGATCGGGAGGTCGTGGGTTCGGGTCCTGTGAGGGATTGGGCTTTTTTCTTCACAAAATGATCTTGGTTCCCAGGTCAACCCAGCCTTGAGTGGGTATCGGGTATAGTCATGTGAAATAAAGGCGGCCAGAGTGATGTCATCCACCAAGTGTCGTTTGATGTATAAAATATAAGTCTTGCCCTACATACCCATTACGCCTAAAGGCGTCGAAGAGGGTCCTTCACTTTTTAATAATACTATTAATAATAAGAAGAAACTAAAGAAAAAATACCTGCCTCAGTGACGATGCATTTATTCGTTTATTGTCATTTTGTGCTATTATACATCACACAGATGACAGAGAGGTAAAAACTGTATACACAAGGGAGATTAATGGCCGAAGACCACCAGGCAGACCAAGAAGACGATTGAGAGATAATGTCCAGAGAGACCCTGCAAACACATGGTGTCACCAACGGGAAAGAGAAGGCCAACCAGAGAGATGAATGAAGGCGGGTGATATCTGCAGCATTAAACCCCAAGGGCTCGGGATGCTGTAGAAGAAGATGTATCGTACAGGACTTGCAGTCTATTTTCCCCATTCCCTTCTGTCCTGTCCTTCGATATGAGGGATGAATGGATTTAACTCATGCAGCCTTGGCCTCTTTCATCAACGTTTCTTTTTTAGGGTTTATTTTGGACGTCCTCGCTTCGTCTGTACCGCTATTTCCCATTTCAATGCCTTTTTGATGATTGCTGGTTTCTTCTCAGGATGCGTCCAGTAGAGCGCCATCGTTTTTGTCTTATAACTGTTGTAATCAGTGGTTGCTCAGACGTGTCTCTTATTTCTTCTTCTTTGTTGAATAAACCCCATTTTTTTTTAACTTTCTCCGGACACATTTGTTTTAAAGTGTATTTAACTTTCGTTCCATGTCTCCGGTGGCTCTCCAACTTTCACTGACACATACTGAAATTGATAACAGAGGCGCAAAAGAAAGTGGCACCAGTAGAGCAATAGTTCTTGTGGCGGTATCAGTGGTAGAAGAAGAAATGGCTCTATACCAATATCCCCCCACCCCCCAAATAGACAGTTGAATATTGTTGGGGGTGGTAGATCGGCTGCGTGCAGTCGTTGGACCTAGGCTGCACTCTCCCGTGAGACGTAGGTGGGTTAAGGTTAGGTCCAGTTCTAGATATTTTGGGGTAGTTAAAAGCGTCAGAATGCTGAGAAACCACGCTTACAAACCTCGAAAATATTGGACCGTCCTGTGACGTCATACTGGGGAAAGATATTGGAAAAGCACCGAAGTAATAGTTGGGGGAGATGCTGCAGAAATAATATTAGTAATATCACACCAGAAAGAAACAGTCGTCATTATTTGGTCATGTTATGAAAAGAGGGAAAATGGAACTTGTTGTGACAACTGGAAAGATTTGTGGAAAGAGAGACATACGAAGACAGCGCGAGAAGATTCTTTGACAGCACTTTGTCATGGCTGACGGGGGGCGGGTTTCATACATGGGTAGAAACCTTCTGTTAATTTCTTTTTCCAGGTCTACAACGCCCCACTCCTTTTCCCCAAAACCATGTTTAGATATTCCCTATATAAGTATTCGATTACACATGTCAAATAATTTCAAATATTATTTTCCCTTCCGCACATAATAATAATAGTTGTAGTAGCAGTAGTAGTTGTAGTATTAATAATAATAATAATAATAATAATAATAATAATAATAATAATAATAATAATAATAGCAATAATAATAGCAATCATAATAATAACTGAAGGTGTCTCCACCTTGCCGTGGTGGGGCAGCTGTGCTTCTCAACGGCATTCAGAGCTGTGTCGGCGTTAGCGTAGCTACCAGTAGGGCCTCCCAATCTGGAAAGGTCGAAGGGTAGAGTACAGACAAAGAAATACACCCTGGTCATCCGGTCTGGGGGTTGAAGCGTGGGGCCGACAACCCCACCTTTATAAAACTTTATTTCGTCACTAAACAGATAAAGAAGAAACATCCGCCAAAGGAAGACGTTGGCGTAATCTGGATTGATATTAAGAATATAATTCAAACCACTAGAGAAGAATGTCTTTGTGTGTCTTCCATAAGCAGAAAAAATGTAAAGAAGCAGTCAGTTTTAAAACAAATGCTAGGCCGATGCGACTAAGTGATACTAGTAACATACGAAATAAAGAAAAGTATAGAACAACATTGTCATGGATGAGGAAGCTAACCGCCAGAACAACAAATCCATAAAGTTCTTTTAAAGAACTAAAACGAGGGCATAAACACGGCATCCATAGTTTGAAAGATCACAGTGGAAAAATTATAAATAGTAATGAGAAAATATGTAACAGATGGAAGTAATGTTTTACTGAATTGTTAAACTGTGAAAGTCCACCAAATACCTATCCATAGGAAAAAATACTAACACGTGAACCAAATGTTGAACAGCCCGAGTTTGAACAAGTGAGTTATTGCATAACATAGTTTAAAAATAATAAAGGAACTGGTGCTGATGGAACTGCTGCTGAAGTTATAAAAGAATGCATTACATTTAAAGATATATAAAAAAATAAAACTAGTTTGGATGACGTAGAAATTATCATATGAGTGGAAAGTTTCATTATTTATACCCGTTTTTCAGAAAGGAGACAAGTATAAATGTGAACATTATAGAGGAATATCAGTATTATCTACAACTTATAATATACTATTGGCGGCACTGCTAAACAGACTAAAACCACACATCGAAGACATATTAGGTGATTATCAAGCGGGTTTCCGATAGAACAGATCAACAACAGATCAGATATACGGCAAATAGCAGAGTAAAACTGGGAATTAAGAAGAGATGTGCATAATGCTTTTGTAGATTTTAAAAAGACTTATGATAGCTAGTGTACATAGTAACAGTTTATGAAATGCTATGACTGATTTTGGAATACCAACGAAGTTAATCACTATGACCAAACTATGTATGGAAGAAACTTTTAATTTAGTAAAAAATAAAGGCAGAATGACCCTTTTCAAAAAACATCTGGTTTAAAGCAAGGTGATGCTCTGTCCCCATTTCTTTTCAACTAGGCCCTGGAGAAAATTACAAGGAAACTGAAATAAGAGTGTACTTTAGGAGAAACTACAAGAACACTTGGTAATGCGGACGATATTGATATCGTTGGAGAAAATGAACTAGAGACTGTAGAAACACTGACTCTCTTATAAGAAGGAAGGACTAGTTATTAATCATGATAAGATAGAATATATAAAAATAACAAGACAAACAATAGACATAAGCTCCGGCCACATACAAGTCGATAATCTGAAAATCAAACGAACGGAAGCATATAAGTATTTGGGTGCGAACTTCAACTGCTCCAACATGCTGAGAGAAGAAAAACAAAATAGAATACAATCAGGAAATAGATAACATTATGCCCTTCAACATCTGCTAAAATCAAAGTGTCTGTCCCGTAACACCAAGATGAAATATATAAAACGTTGATAAGACTAGTTGTTTTCTTCTTCTTCTTCGCGTTCACCAGCTGTACACTCTGGCGGAAAGTTCTGGTTGATCGTCCACTACTGAACTGCAGTCCTGCTCCAGAACCTGAGTGTTGCGTGTGCATCAGTTTTACAGATCTCATTCTCTTGAATACAGACTGTTGGTTCCTTGCCTCTCCGGCAGATGCACTCCGACTTCAAAGGAAGCTCCCCAATTAGTCGACTCTTACGATATGCTTTTGGGGAGGCAGTGGGTCTATTCTTGTTTTCCCCACAATGGGGCCCCGGAACCCACACGGGGGACTAGTTGTTTTTATATGACTCTGAACCTTGGAACACAGCTAAAAGAGATAAAGACTTATTATAAATTTGTTCAAAAACAGTCTAAGGACGAATCTTTGGACCCATCACAGATGCAGACAGCAGCGAATGGAGAGTGAGGAGAAATAACTAAATAATTAATCTGTTTAAATCACCACTGATCACTGGTACCATAAGAACTAATAGACTGAACTGGGGCATATTGAGAGAATGCCAAATGAAAGAGAAGTAAAAACTGTATACACAAGGGAGATGAATGGCCATAGACAACGAGGCAGACCAAGAAGACGATGGAAAGATAATGTCTAGGCAGACCTGCAAACACTTGGGGGGGGGGAGGGGGGGGAGGTGATTTATTTGTGGACGCACGCTGGTGAATACTGTCATCGATTTTTTAAATCCCAGACAATTTTATAAGTTATATATAATGTTTGTTTGATTTAGTTGTTAAGTGATTGTGAATGGGACAACAATGAATCAGGTCTACCAGTTTATTTGCTTATATTTGATTTGTTATTTTAGTTATAAACATGGATGTGTTTGTTATTTCTTCACTCTGCCACCAGCATATTGTGTGTTCCAGATACAACTGTTTTTGTGTCAATGTCCCCCAGGCTCACAAGGTACCAACATCAAGACTATCAGAAATCGAAAATGTCGTGCATAAAATCGATTGTGATGATAGATAAATCTGAATTCGATTGCCTTCCCAAAAACGTATTGAAAAGAAGATCGATACCTGACTATAGCCATGTAATCAGTTTTATATTTGTGTAATTCTCTTGCAATTTGATTCATGGGAAGTTTAAACTTTGTTGGCAAAGATCTGAGGATAATAGAAACCA